TCATTACTTCTTGAATTATTTCTTTGCTAATCATTTGGAGTACACCCATATAAGTCTTTCAACAACTGTGGTATTAAGTAGACATGCATATTATCAGGTTTTGAAAAGAAATGTATATTGCTGTGCTGGGGATTAAAGCCAGGGCCTCACCACATGCTAGTCAAGCCCACTACCACTGAGACATACCCATAGCCCCCAAAACAGCTTTTCAGAGTCAATATATAATTTCATGCTGGTTATATATTTCCTAGTTTACTGCTAACCACAAGAGAGTTTATGTGTCCTGTATCCTTTAAAGTATGTGTATCAGATTATTAAAATACCTACAAATATGTTATCAAACTGCCTTGGAAGTTACCATGTAAATATTTTGCAAGTTTTAAGATTTTCCTGTTTAACAGTACTGGTCATTTGAAGATGCAAATTAAAACAACACTGAGATTACATCTCACTCTGGAAAGAATAGCTATTATCAAAAAATCAACCAGTAACAAACGCTGGAGGGACTGTGGGGGAAAAGGAACCCTTCACCATTGTTGGTGGGAATGTAGACTCGTACCACCACTATGGAAATCAGTGTGGAGATTCCTTAAAAACCTAGGATTGGAGGTCCCATTTGACCCAGCTATTCCCCTTCTGGGTGTCTCCTCAGAAGAATTAAAAACATTATTCCACAGAGATATATGTGCACCCAAGTTTATAGCAGCACAGTTTGTAATAGCTAGATCTTGGAACTGAGGAATGAATAAAAAAAATGTGATCTTATTATATAATGGAGTGTTAGCCATAAAGAAGGATAAACTGCAGACTTTCATAGGTAAGTGGATACAAATTGAGACCATACTCATAAGTGAAATAAACCACACACAAAGGTATAAACATCATATTGTCTCCCTAGGTTCAGAAGCTGAAAGAGTAAAGGTGACCCAAAATGTACAACTTCAAAAGGAAAAAGAAACTGGTTCAGAGAGTAGAAAAAAAGAAGGAAGGGAAAAGCAAAAGGGGAAAAAAAATTAAAAAGAAAAAGAAGTATATAAAGAAAATTAAGATACTTATACTACTGATTTCTCTCACTTCATTGAAAAGATAGGTTTGTGCTAATGTTTGGACGATTAAATGCTGATATCACGAGTAATCTAAAGATAACAGTATATAATGTATTAACCGTTGTTACCTATCATATTGTTTTAGAATTTTGTTTCTTTTGTTTTTTGCATATTTTTCTTTACAATAAAATTTTAAAAAATTGTTTTCCTCACACCACCTCTCTAACTTTATTATAATGAAACACACATTACTGTTGATCCCCCTAAAAATCTTCCCCCTCACTTTGAACACACTTATTCCATCGTTTGTGGCAATGTGTCATTCACTGTTTTTTTTTTAAATTTAAACATTCCCTGTATTTTTTGATCACCCCTTACTTACAGGGTTTGGGAGAGATGCCACTAGATCCTCCTTCAACAAAAGGAAGGCGCTCTCACACTGGCAGTGTTGGAAATGCAAGATCATCATCTGTTTCTAGAGATGCCATCAGTTCAGCTGAAAGGTAAGCTCATTTGATAGGTTTCTGCATTAGAGAAATAACTCCTTAGTTAAGAAGTCTCCTTTGGATGTTTTCATGAACCACCCCAGGGATATTTGTCAAAATTAGGTGGGGTTTATTTCTTCTTCCTTTTT